GTGATAAGAATGTAACTCAAACACCGTTTAGAAAACTAGTCCCGTCCGAATAGGGCTTAGGAAACACTGATACAGGGAACCTTGTGATTTAGTTAATTAATACAAATGTTAAGTTTAAAAGTTGAGCGAGGCCATCTTCAGGGTGGAATCGCTGTACAAATACACTTTCATGCCGTCCCTGAAAATGGTCTAAACAACCATTCTTGGGATTTAAAAAATCAAGATCAGGTGTGCACTGTAAACAAATTCACACTAAATAACAGCTGTTGTGATTGCCAGGAATTCACCGTAAAGAATATGGTGACAATGTTCCAGGTATTAGGGGATGGCATTTATTTCTCCCATCGGGATTTCAAAAAAGTCTCTGTGAAAGCAGTTTAAGCCATGAACCAAGCCAATCATAACCTTACAAACTGCGATTTGAAGCCAAAAAGTATTTGAAAATTGGCCACTGCACAATTAAAGGGATACTCCACCGTTTTTTCATATTAAACTGTTATTCACTTAACTAAGACGAGTTGATGCATCCCTCTCTCGTCTCAGTGCGTGCACTAAATCGCTCTGTCTTGCGGCGAAACTTTGTTAGCACTTAGCTTAGCCCAGTTCATTCATTAGGATCCAAGCAGAGAAGCGACCAAACACCTCCACGTTTTCTCTATTTAAATACAGTTACACGAGTAGTGTAACTCGACCAAGAATGGTGACACAAAATGAAACGTTGCGCTTTTCTAAGCGTGTAAAGTGGATAACTATAATGTATGGCGGAATACCATAGCAAGTGCTTGGGAGCACTTCGACTCGGCGCAGTAATATCATCACTCCTGAAAAATGATATAGTGATGATGATATTACTGCGCAGAGTCCATAGATATATATGCGCCGAGTCGAAGAGCTTCTCCGTGACACACTCGAAGCTGGTGTGGGTCGCAGGTGACCCGCCCTGCATGCCTACAGTAATTATAAAAATTGCCTTTGAATCTAAAAAATGACCCTGGAAATCAATTCCAGGAGGCAAACAATTTCCCTTAATGGAAAAGTACATTTCTGACCATTTTTTTATTATTAATATTTTTCATTTATTCATTTAACCTAGCACTAATATTGGTGTGTTTTAAGGCAATCCAGCTTAAACTGCCCTGAATATTTCACCTGCTGAGATCGAAACCTTCAGGTTTAATGTACTATTCAATTCAAGTTCGCAGTGTTCTTTTCACTTTCACACCTGAAAGCCCAGGATTCCGACCTCTTACTGGAGACCTGCAGTGAAGATCACAATAGACTGTCTCGATGCATTTTGAGAGTGTGAGAAATTAGCTTGTCTAGACAAGTGCACGTCTGCATTCAAAAAAGGAAGCATTTGGGCTTGTATGCACTTTGGGGAATAGTACAAATATGTGAGAACAGCAAAACTTCTTTTTATGCCTTTTTTTATAAGAGCACATTAAAGTGTAACTTCACCGATTTTCACCTGCTTTGTATTGTTACAGTGTCCGTAGTATAAATGAACAATGTTACTCTTTCTCAGTGTTACCTGGACCGAGAAATTCACGTTTAATTGTCAGCAAAAGTCTTTTGACAGTTTCAGGGCTTTCGTGAAGTCTACAGATTACACTTTTGAATTTTTTTAATTGACCGAGGGTTATTAACAGAACAGTTATTGTAAGAGTAAAAAACACTGAAAATTGTATCATAGTCGTAATGTGTCTAGTCTTTAAACAGCATTAGGGCCGCACAATATATCGTAATATCGCAAATTTACATATATTGCGATAAGCATATTGTAATGACTTGCGATATCTGAATGATTTTAATAGGCTACTTCAAAATGTTGTGAAAAGTCGACGCATATAGCAGAGAATAGACTGCACGCGTGTTTGCTTGATTTTAGAGTTAAGCTCAATAAGCTGCAGAAAATGACTCATTGCGGTACTGGCGCGGTACTGGCGCTGTCTGACACACCGAAGCGTGCGCACAGAAAGCCTCCCGTCAGACAGCGTGCAATCCCAAACTGACAGAACAGTAGTTTCTTGCAGTTTTTACACTCCATTTGTGTTCGTGGTAATCTAGTTTTTGGAGGTTTTTCAGATTTTCCGTTGCGGCGTTCTCTCCATGTTTACGATTCTTTGCAGCTTTTAGCCACTTCACTGGAAAAAGAAAATAACTCACTCCCACTAAATTTTTACTCTTTAAATTCTTGCACCCGGGAACAATACAAGGCGACACAATTACAACTAAAAGTTTGTGAAGAAGCATTTCCCACTAAAGCACGGTGGTATTTTACTCTGGTCAAGTATATCCATAGCACACTGTTGGGAGTGGCCTTGGACGGCAACATGCCCAGTGCATTATGGGTGTTGAAGTTTTCCTACCTATTTGGCAACAGTAAAGACAACAGCCTTTCTCCAATTTTTTTTTTTTTTTCTAGTCTGTATAGGCCGCAAAGTTGTATTGAAAGCCCATTTTGCCAGCAGTGAAGCACCCCTTTAACTCTTAGGATTTGATGAACAGTTTTGCCTTTAGTCATATTGTACCCGTATGAAAGTGTTCTCTTATCTCTCTCATTTTGTCAGGACATCACAGCTTTGACTGGTGTTCCCGAGGAGCATATTAAGACGCGCAAAGTCCGTATCTTTGTGCCCGCCCGCAATGCCATGCAGTCCGGCGTCAAAAACACTCAAAAGTGGAAGATGGATTTTGACACCAGAGAGCGCTGGGAGAACCAACTGATGGGCTGGGCCTCCTCGTGAGTGGGCGTCATTATGATAAATGGGCTTTTTGAATTGCCTGATGAAATCTATTGTCTGAATAATTTTTTATTCCCAATACAGGGGAGACCCCCTGTCCAACATGGTGCTTGCTTTCAGCACTAAGGAGGAGGCTATCGCTTTCGCAGAGAAGAACGGTAATCCATTTAGACGTTTTTCCACTATCGTGACCATATTTTTTAAACACGACAATCTTCCTATTAGAATCGCATCCAAAAATGTCTCTTGAGAGAGAGGGTGCTTAGCTTTGAAAAGGAAATGTGTTTGTGTTTGTGGCATAAAGATTTGCATTTATCCTCACCCTGTCTTCTTCGGCCTGGTGTTTACACCGCACATCAGCAGCAGTGGACATATCCCAAATCCAGCCTGTAAGATATACTTGGCTGAGCCTGCTCTGCGCCTGTTTATTTTTACAGGTTGGAGTTATGATATAACAGAAAAGAGGGTCCCGAAGCCGAGAGTGAAGTCATATGGAGCAAACTTTTCCTGGGACAAAAGGACCAGAAGGTCGGCCAAGTAGTTGTCCCATCTCTGCCTGTCTGTGTTATCTTTAACAGACTTGTAAAAAATAATATACTCTACGTATCTAATAAACTTTCTTTACAACATCTGTTTTTTTATTGTGCTTCCTTTAGATTACTTCACGAATCATTGTAATGACACAATATCCATGGTAGTATTTAGCACTTTTTATTACTGAAGCTGTTGTTCGTTCTAGCTGTGTGCTTTGAAATGTCATCTCCGTTTCCTCAGAAAATAATTCTTGTCAGGTGGTTTGTTTTTTCCACCCTTCAAATCCTCTTGAAGACAGTTTAGTGTTAATGTTTCTGAAACGGCAAGATGAGGTAAATGTCAAGCTTCAAAGACTGAATGCGGCTAGTTATGTTTACTCTCATGTTCCTCCAGGGATGAGCTGAGATGAGGAAAACACCTGTCTGCTCCAAATGATGTTCAATTGAAAAAGCAGTGATCGTTTTACTCTGTCGTCTCTGCTAGCACATTTGCACAGTAACTGTTACTACTCAAACCATGTTCATTTTACATCACATTACAAATCTACGTTATCTGGAAGCGTTAAAATGTGGTTTACATTTTTAAGCCTTGAAAGTCAGAATGAGTGATTGATGTGTTTAACCTAACTTGATTGAACTGGACATGACACCATTGCCTTATAATGGCGTGCATGTAAAAGAAGTAATTGGTGAGTGACTGAAAGTTCAAGAAAAGTGCAACATCCAGAGAAGTTCTATGCAAACAGAAAGTGAGAGAGACCACACAGATCATTGTGAAGGAGCTACTTGAGTACAGGGGAAATGAGCACAAGATGACTTTGAGGAGCTCTGCATAACACTGGCCTTTAGGGAAGAGTGGCACAAACTGCAAGACAACAGCCTCTGAAAGAACAATGTTTTGGAGTTTGTCAGGATATGATGTGAATTGTGGGATCCTGTGAGGTCAGACTAGACTAGAGCATTTTAGCCTAAATGCAGAGTCATTTCTGCTTTATCATCTTGTATGGTGGTCATGTGTGATTGGGTTTCATCAGAGAGAACCAGTTTAAATCTAAAAGTTTTGTCCTTGTGGGAACATTGGCATGATTCAGTTTAAAATGATTTCCCTACTAGTTGGATTGTGTGGGAAAAGCTCTGTGTATTTTGTGGCTATAGATTAGATATAGAACAAACCTTTTTTGGGTCAAACTCAAGACACTGCAATTACATACAAAATAATGAGAGTAATATTGTTGTTTTACCAATGGCAGAACTCAATTCTTGAAAAAAAATCCCCATCACTGACCAATTGATATGTATTTTTTTTTTTATTGATTTCACTCTTAATATCTGTACAAATACATCAAACTTTGTATATACATATGACATTTACATAAAAATACAAAACTATATATTTATAACTGAATTTTGTTTTTATCTTGAGATGTCTGAAAATAAAAATGCATTTTGACAACAAAGTGAAAACAGTGAAAAAGTGAACATTTTATATATTGATACGGAGTCCTCTTTGTGACCTTTTCTTTAGCTCTGCAAGAGCAATATAGAGCAGAATATTGGCAAAAACAAGACAAAAAGTTGCATGGCACGGTTTTCTCAAACAAGTATCACCCACTGCTAATTTCTTTAAACCCATCGCAAACTGTTGCTGTTGATGACACATAGCATTTTGTACAAGTTAATCATCAGGGGTTTCCTATATGAGAAACGGCTCATTTTCAATGTTATCCTGCTGCACCATATCACAAAACATTGAAGAACGTGCGAGAAAATCCCTTTGGTCAGTTACACTAAACTGTAAACAAAACCAGAAATATACATGTACATTAAAGAGTGACATTTTTTTTCCTATGCATTTCCATTTTTTTCCAATAAATAAACTCACAAGCTAACATGCAGGTATGTTTGAAATAAACATCTGTGATACAGAATTGACATTGATAAGCATTTATACAGCTCAGGGAATGCAATTTACAGCTTGCAGAAGACTCACACTTTACATGATAGCATTTTACCTCACAATAAATAACACTGCTTCTCTTTGGACAAATATATCTCTCGGTCATAATTTAAAAAAAGAAAGAAAAGGGAAAGACAACACAAGTGATAACAAAATGGCATGATAGACAAGTAAGCCAGACACTGTAAATGTATAAATTATAAAACAGAACACTGTATAAATAAACATCAAGCAGACTGAACTACATGTATACTTCTTTCTTTTTTCTCTGAAAAATAAATTAGCATACACATATGTACAGTGTGGACATGATTCCGTGCCCTAGGACTGTTCCACTGGTTGATAGGGCTTTATCCATCCAGTACAGGTGATAATTGGATATAAGCCATGTAGTCCTGGTCTTCCTCATCATCATCTTCCTCCTGGTCTTCAGTAATGGCTATATGGGAGAATACATGGTAGCTGTTGCATGAATATAGACCACAACAGCGCAGAATGTATGTGAGTATTTGTCTTTTTATCCCAAAGCCTCTGACAATCTAGTGGGTTTTAGGCTACTTGCCAGCTTGACCAGGTGCTCTGGCTCCCAAATTTATGCAACAAGATGTACATAATAAAGGAAGTCACTGGTGTGACGGGACAGGGCTGATCAGAGGCTTTAATGGCTCAGGTCTGTTTGGCAGATTTGCGAATCAAGACCAAAAATAAAATGCTCTTGCATTCTACGACTGGCTGCTTTTTTTCTGGTTTTGCGTCTATATCCATCACTTTGGATGCACTGTTGTGCACCGGTCGACCGTAGCTACGTGGTCAAGCAATGGCACAGTTCTGAGGTATATAATATATATAGGTATATATATTCTACATAAAAGTTTACATTGAAAAAATGACACAGGCAAAGCAATGAAACAAATAGTCCCTCACAAACAAATAGGACAACACGATCACAGCAGAACTGCACACACATATTCACCTTTCTAATGTTAGATGTCTAACAGCAGAGACTGAGAAATAATAACAATCTTGTCCTGCAAACTGTAAAATGCTGGAGTCATTCAAATCATGAGGTGATCATAAAGTTGGTCCCTTGAAATGATACCTTAAGGCACGAGAACATTAAGGTAAGCGATTCGTTCACATTGATCATTTGATTGGTTTGCTAGCACAAATTGGAATGTCTTTGATGCTGTATTATTGATAGCAGATCTAGCTTCATCAATTCATTCTCAAAGCTAGTTAACCATCTGTCGAAATAGGTAGTCTAGTTAACTTTTAAACAATGGCACCAATGTTACAATCACCTTATGCGAGTGTAAGGAAAAGGATTCGTGTCTTTTCAAACCCTCAGGGCTATTTATGTCATAGTGCATTTGAAATCATTGATTACAGCCAAACGCATAAATCAAACAAAAAACAAAATTTATAAAACACTTACATAATAACCATGAATATGGAATTGACAAGTTGATATGATTATATAAGTCTCTACATTACACTATAACAAAGGGGGAAATATGAACTCAACCTGCTGGTCAGTAACAGGTAAGAGCGAACTAGAATTCAAACATGATGATGTCCACTAACTGCAAAAGTTAGTCCGCACATGTTTTCTTGTTAGTTAAATGAAGAAAATTAGTATGTCAAAGGACTCCTTGAAAGAGCTCTTTGAAACATTTTTGTTTTTTTTATACATTGTTTTCATTGATTTCCATTGATTTAGTAGTTTTTTTTTAAATAAACATTTTGTTTCTTTTCGTTTTTTTCTTCTCAAGAAAATGCAAAATGAATGAAGCCAGCCAAAGAGGACATGCAAAGAACTTCCAATCATAAGTCCTTTCTGTAGCTTAACTCTTAGCAGCAGGAAGGGAATGAAGAGGCGTTATTTGGAGGGGTGGGAGGTTTTGGGGAGGAGGTTGCTTGGGGCAGCATTGGATTGTCTTTTAAGATGTATTACTTACAGTTGCAAGATCCTAAATGCTTAACCTCCAGGAGAACCCCCAAAGAGCAAGCGGCCTGCTTCATGGTGCACTCGCTGGGATATGTGGTGTTGTCGCTGGCGCACACGGCCTCCTCCGAGCGACTTTCTGGGCATGACTCCACACAAACTGAACAGCGCCCGCGACCCATCTTGGCATCCCATAGACACTTCTTCCCTGCGCTGCACTGGATATCATCGCATGACTTGGCCTCTGTAAACACAACAGAGGAAAAGAACCGTCAATTTCTACTGATAACACTCCAGTGTTCCATACAAAGAAATACATAAATGTAGTTGTTGTTGTGGAGAACTGTAGGCAAGTCACGCTCAGTTTGTTATAACACACGAGAGGAGATGATGTTGTTGCCAACATCAGGAAACAATTAGACGCCAATGACTTTCCTTTGCAAGTAATAATCCCAACTGGGATTGTTACGAAAGACTAATGGAACAGAATGCATTTGGGATTTCGCCATTGTTGCATTATGCACTCTGAACCAATACCCCACCAAAGTGCACTATTTCTATATTTGTAACTTTTCTCATTTAAATGAAACATCACAACTCCTAGCAAAATTTGTGTCAAAATAACTCACTGATGCATTTCCCTTCGTATGCCACTCCAATGGATCTACCGAGCAAGCACGTGGCTCTCCTTAAATGGCACGCGCTGGCGTAAACAATCCCATCGTTGCCACAAAGGTACTGATCCGGAGATGTAACCTCTGGGCATATGCGGTTGCATGTCACACAGTACGCGTTGTTTGTCTGGTCCACCACACAAGTCGAACTTCCCGGACACAGGACATCACGGCACGTCTCTGTGAAGATGAGAAGGGAAGACTGAATGATTTTCTTATTTTCACAACCAGTGACCTAGTTGACCAAAATATTTCTTTATTCGTATTTCATGTGTGACTTTATTTAGTATAAATACCTATTGTAAGTACTGCAGGGCTGGATAAAAGTGCTGAAATCTCTCTTATGATTAGACAGTTCTGTTGTTTTTGTAAGACTTTTTTTGTGTGAAAGCAGTGTTACATACTTTTGCATTTGCCTTGATACTGCACCTCCAGATCTGGGTGCCCTTTGCATTTGGATTTCAGAAGGGCACATTCATCTCGGTATGTTTTTCCGTCTGAGCCGCACACCGGCCCCTTCCAGGTGATGTTGGAGCAGTCTGGGGCGCAGACGCAGCGAGGCTTACTCCTCCTGTTCATTTTACATCTCTTCCCAGGGCCACAGTCCACATTATCACATGTCTCTAAAATTCAGAGAGGCACACAGGAACATGACATTTAAAAGCAGCTGAATCTAATTGAAAGATTTTATTCATTATTATTATTATACACTCATAGCACACATTAATAATCTATTATTAATTAATTGTATTTATTTGTTTTTATTTAGGCTATATTAAAGCAAGAAAGTGTGAGAGATGAGGACGGGGACACTGCGGCACAGTTTCTATGCATAACTTTTGAAATATGCATGTAATACGTTTTGATTACATATAATAGCAACCATATGCGTATTAGACGTTTCCACCTGAAAAAAACGAACATGGGATTCTACCTTTACAAGGTGTGCAGTTTGGAGCACCGCCATTGAAGATCATCCACCTGAATAATGTGCTGTTTGGCACATCTTCCTCGGTCCAAGATGTACCGAGCCTCCCACTCCGGCAGCATTCCTCTCGACTCATCCCAGGCATGTAGAGGACCTGACATCTCCCGTTCTTGCCTTGCTGTAGCCAGCAGTTACCAGCTGTAAACAAAAAGAAAAAGAGCCAGTCGTATTAAAGTCTGAAGCCAATGACCCAGACACAACACGTGCAGCCTGTATTAGCTGGAGCTCTCTTGCTCCCCCTCCCCCGCTGTATTTTGTCTGATTTTTCCCAACGTAATGCGACTATTTTACACTTGCATGCCTTCACCCAGACAACTCAAGGGCTCTGGGTCTGGTCGGGAATATGCTTTTCCTGTCGTCGATTATGTTATGACCGGGCAGAGACTTATTGTCTTAAATTAAGTGGCAGACTGTCAGACTCGTATAGCCTACCTATTTAAACAATGTGCATGGCAGTCTAGACTCCAGTTCCTCGAGCGCTCTGTGCCAACTGTCTGCGCTCATCACGTTTCACCACACTTACAGGAGCATTACAAACGCTGCTTTTACCAACACAAACGCATGTATCCGCTGCTCATAATAAGGTTCAGATATTTTTGTTTAACTGTCGGGTCAACCATGAGTGGAATTAGTCGTGTTTATTTATTACATTAGGCATTCGCGCCGGGGACAGCCTTCCACGAGCCAGACAATCCAATTAAATCATACAGTCACGCGAGCTTCATCAAACTTTGTTTAAAAAATGATCGTGCCCTTTTAATGACAGATACGCAAAGCGATTCAAATAATTAAATGCATTTTTGTTTGTGTGTGTGTGTGTGTGTGTGTGTGTGTGTGTGTGTCCACTGATATTTGGAAGCCAGACGAGTAGACAGTCTAAAATCACTATTTGAGAAAAAATGCAATCGAATGTCTAATGCATAAGGGTTTATTTGAGAGTGTGTTAAATATGCATTTAAACAAAACATTCATTCTTCATATTATTGATAGACAAAAAATACTATCATATTGATCAACATTTTATTCATTATTATCAAGACAAGAACTGCATCTCGGTGTCCTCTAGTTTTGACAATCTTGACGTGAGCATTTATTTTAGACAACGATACAATTTTCTGTTAAAATGTTCATTTCTTAATTTAGCCTGAATTTCGGCTGTTCTTTTCTTTTTTAGATAATGGTGCATGTAAGGACGCACCTGTCTCGAGGATACCAATGCAGGCGCGAGCCAAGAACAAAACTTTACAGTTGTCTAGTATTTAAGCAGCTCTCTACATTCTAAAGGAATACTTTAATTCTAAAGGAACTGCAGCCCAAGCCCATGTCTAAAGCATGTCAAAGAATAATTTTGAAGAAACAAATATAGAAAAAGTGCACTCACCTTGCACTTTTTGATCTTCAATCAAATAACATAGCCATAAGAGTAATAAAATCATTCCCGGGTGGAGGTGCTGACGCTTTAGCATCCTTAGCATGTTTAAAGAGAGAAAGAGTATTGAGACGAGCAGCGCAAAAGTAATCTTCTTACTCAGGCAGTGCTGAATGAACGCTGCTCTCAGAGTGCCACCTCTTTTTAAGTGTATAAGGGGTCTCGGGCCGACTGTCTGTGGTGTGGGCGGTCTTCCTCTCTGTGGGGGTGGGGAGAAAGACTTTTTCCCCCCCAAGTTCTTTCAATCCAAATCAGGTGACATAGCTGGTTGAAACTTTCTCTTGCCTCTAAATCACATCAGAGTTTTGCAGAATACTAAGTCGCAGGAAGCATTTAAATAAGATGGTCCAATTTGTATCTTGTAACCAAGAACCATCCTTATGGATATCCAGAACTGATCAGACGTGGATGTGACTTTACAATTACACAGGGAAATAATATTAGCATAAACAGCATTTTTAAACTCACACCAAAGACACAGTTACCAATGAATATTGCGTGTTTAGTGTTAACAAAAGGGAACATGTTTGTAGGTGAATGATTCGATAGCCTTAAGACTCTATAGGCGGGTGTGAATTACAAATACAACTGCACATTGATAGCCTGCGACAGTCTCCACAAACCTTTGCGGAGATGGGAAATGTCACAACTTTCTAGGCCATGACAGGTCTGATTAACAGTAGCCTAAGGGTGTTAATTTAATACAAGGTTACTGCCGAAAGGTGATCTGAGCAAGGAGACAATGGATTACAGAATAAAAGCGAGAAAGACTATTATTAGACGAGACAGGTGTTGCGGTCTCCTTTCGGGATCACAATCTATATCCCATTCAATTTCCGAACGGCGGTGGCGCGAGGCAGACTACACGGAATTCATTTCCATAGAAGTGAGACACGCGACGCGAGACTGACTGGAGGAGGATTTAGCCTCTGTGCTGGAGGCGCACGCGCGACCTCTTCTGCAAGATTCTTGAAGCACAGAAAACAGACGTGTGCGCGCACGCTCAACTTCACTTCACTTAGGCCATTAGCTACATGTTAGTTTAGAGGACGGGAGTATCGTATGTTGAAGGAGACTGTAGCGAACACACGAGATTTCGGAGTATCTGTTTCTTTATTCAACTTTTAGATTTTATTTTTATTTAGGCAAAACCAGTCATTATACAAACGTGTGTATGATAGCCTAATTGCGATGAATTGCACATTAATCTTGGCTACAATTTCTGTATGTGTCTATTTGTAAGCCAACCGTATTTAAAATATATTTTTCTACAAATCAGACAATCTGCAATTAGGCTATAGTTATGCTATAATTAATCGATTAAATAAAAATTCCAGTTTGTTTGAGTCAGATTAGCCTAATTTTTATGTTATTTGAAAATGATTAGCCTATGTTTTCCATTCAGAACTGACTGTCCTTCTGACACTTTAACTTCATGTTTGTAGACTATAGCCAATAGGCTACATAAAACTCCAGGAGAGTATATCTAATTGTAGCCTGTACGTTTAACTTTTGGCACAAACAGACTTTATACAAAGTCTACTTCCCAATACTTTGGCAGTGATTTCATTTTAATAATAGGCTATCTGCGTTTGACAAAGTCTCAGGGTCTGATCAAAGCATGAAGGCTAAAACATTTTTGTTCAAGCCAAGAAATTATAAAACATTTTACACGTATTTCCACTGACTGTCAGTTACAATGAGCCAACCGGATGACAAGCATAGCCCAATGACTGGGAGTGTAGCCTATCATTAGAACAAGTTCCCTAGCTGCAATGTTTGTCCTGGGTCACGTGGTGCACGTTGAGACAACTAAGCATTGCTTTTCAAAAACACGTATCCAAAACAAAATCCACATTCCAAACCCCCCATTATTTAAATATTATGAATAAATAATATTTGGTCGATAGAATATTTAGTTGATGTTCTAACTACCAATATGATGTCCTGTGTTTCCAGATATGCAAAATGATAAATAAACCTAGCCTGACTTATTACGAATTGTTAAAATACGGTGGAAACCAAAGTAAATAAAACAAATATATATATAAACAAATATAGCTAAAGTCACCTTATACTTTTGTTATGAAGGCCAAAACCTTCATAAGGTTCCTCCAGCTATATATTGTTGTCGTCACCTTAACAGTTTTATTGAATAATAATATGCTGACATCTAGTGGCAGTGTAGTGCTTGTACAGTTGTTGCTAACTTTGCATTTAGACACAAAGACATTATAACATAGAGGTTTTGGAGCTATTTGACAGCGACTCACAAAATAATACAAAATCAAAACGTGATTACCTTAGTCAAAGATCAGATCAGGAACAGAATGTATTATTCATGCCTCAGTATCCACTAGATTGCTTCCAAAAATACTGCAAACAAGCTTTAGCTCAGACCTCAGGAACCAGTAAATTACATGAACCCAGCAGGTGGATTTTTAAACCATTCAAAACAAACAGAATGTTCTGAAACAAACTGGTCTGAAAATAAAGGCACCTGGGAAAGGTAAAAAGGTCAAGATGTGAGTAATAGTTCCAAGTGGTTTCTGAGCTAATCCCTCCCCTCTGGAAGTATTTTCTGAATATTTATCAGAATGTGGTTTTCATAGCAGACCTAGAAATATGGTTGGAATTATGTTTTTATAAATGACAAAACTAGGAAGCTTCACAAATGTCACTCTTTTATTAAAACTGGACTAAAACAAGTGGGTTTTGAAACTAAATCTTTGGGAATAAAAAAGAAAAAGAAAAAGAGGTTTACTCAGTTGAACAATACTGAGAGAGCCAAAAAATCACTCTCTAGAACATTCTCATGCACGGTTCCATGCTGGTGGAATGATCTCCCCACCGTCATCCGGAATGCAGAATCCCTGACAACATTCAAAAGACAACTGAAAACTCATCTCTTCCGTGAGCACTTAACCTCATAATATTTATATATATATATATATGTATACAGTGGGGAGAACAGGTATTTGATACACTGCCAATTTTGCAGGTTTTCCCACGCAATTTTCTTTTAGAAACAAACTTTCTTGTATTATTTTCATGTTATCACTGTGAAGCTGCTTTGATACAATCTGTATTGTAAAAAGCGCTATATAAATAAAGGTGACTTGACTTGACTTACAAAGCATGTAGAAGTCTGTAATTCAACAATACTCTTCAACTGTGAGTGACGGAATCTAAAACAAAAATCCAGAAAATCGCATTGTATGATTTTTAAGTAATTCATTTGCATTTTATTGCATGACATAAGTATTTTATACATCAGAAAAGCAGACCTTTTGGTACAGAAACCTTTGTTTGTAATTACAAAAATCATATGTTTCCTGTAGTTCTTGGCCAGGTTTGCACACACTGCAGCAGGGATTTTGGCCCACTCCTCCATACAGAGCTTCTCCAGATCCTTCAGGTTTCGGGGCTGTCGCTGGGCAATGCGGACTTTCAGCTCCCTCCAAAGATTTTCTATTGGTTTCAGGTCTGGAGACTGGCTAGGCTACTCAAGGACCTTGAGATGCTTCTTACGGAGTCACTCCTAGTTGCCCTGGCTGTGTTTCGGGTCATGCTGGAAGACCCAGCCACGACCAATCTTCAATGCTCTTACTGAGGGAAGGAGGTTGTTGGCCAAGATCTCACGATACATGGCCCCATCTATCCTCCCCTCAATACGGTGCAGTCGTCCTGACCCCTTTGCAGAAAAGCATCCCCTAAGAATGATGTTTCCACCTCCATGCTTCACGGTTGGGATGGTGTTCTTGGGGTTGTACTCATCCTTCTTCCTCCAAACACGGCTGTGGCGAGCAGGACGAGGTCCGAGCAGGACGAGGTCGAGGGCCGTGGGAGAACGGCGCAAGGCCGGTGGCGTGATTGATAATGAGCGAAACCTGCATGACGCACCGGTCTCGTATCTCTCACGGAGGAGCGGAGGCATAAAGGAGGAGCGACGACAGTGAAGATCAAGAGAGGAACAGGCCTGTTCCTGTGTTTTGTATTGTTAGTGTTTTATTATGTGACAGCAGTCGTCCGTGAGGGGCTGCTTTCTTTTACTTTCATTTTGTATGTGTTTATTTTATTATTAAATTGTTGAATGTTCGCCGGTTCCCACCTCCTTCTTCCCATAACATCTGAACTGTGTTACAACGGCGAGTGGAGTTTAGACCAAAAAGCTCTATTTGTGTCTCATCAGACCACATGACCTTCTCCCATTCCTCCTCTGGATCATCCAGATGGTCATGGGCAAACTTCAGACGGGCCTGGACATGCGCTGGCTTGAGCAGGGGGACGTTGCGTGCGCTGCAGGATTTTAATCCATGACGGCGTAGTGTGTTACTCATGGTTTTCTTTGAGACTGTGATCCCAGCTCTCTTCAGGTCATTGACCAGGTCCTGCCGTGTAGTTCTGGGCTGATCCCTCACCTTCTTCATGATCATTGATGCCCCACGAGGTGAGATCTTGCATGGAGCCCCAGACCGAGGGAGATTGACCATCATCTTGAACTTCTTCCATTTTCTAATGATTGCGCCAACTGTTGTTGCCTTCTCACCAAGCTGCTTGCCTATTGTCCTGTAGCCCATCCCAGCCTTGTGCAGGTCTACAATTCTATCCCTGATGTTTATCCCTTATCCCCTTACACAGTCTGTTTGATTGAGTGTGTGGACAGGTGTCTTTTATACAGGTAACAAGTTCAAACAGGTGCAGTTAATATGGTAATGAGTGGAGAACAGGAGGGCTTCTTAAAGAGAAACTAACAGGTCTGTGAGAGCCGGAATTCTTACTGGTTGGTAGGTGATCTACTTATGTCATTCAATAAAATGCAAATGAACTACTTAAAAATCATACAATGTGATTTTCTGGATTTTTGTTTTAGATTCCGTCACTCACAATTACAGGCTTTCCACATGCTTTGTAAGTGGGAAAACCTGCAAAATCGACAGTGTTATCAAATACTTGTTCTCCCCACTGTATATACAGTATATATATATATATTCTTTCCTTTTCCCTTAATCCTCCCTTGTCTGGCTTATTCTACTCTGAGAAATGCCTGCACTTTGTATTTTGAGCACTTCTTGCGTCGGTTTTGCCTCTTCACAATGACTCGCTTATAATTTAGTCCTAATTTGTAAGTCGCTTTGGATAAAAGCGTC